CCAATTAAGGTACTTATAACAGTACTAGCTAACTCCCATGAACCTCCAAGTGCTGCCTTGAAATCCGAAAGCAAGCGCCCGTCGACCTTAATTGCGGTGTGCCAAATACCCCTGAGCCCTAAACTTGAGAAACCATTTAGAGTCCGACAGTCCCGCATAAGTTTTAGAGGGGCTTCTTAGTATCATTACCATTTCCTTCCGCTGCTTTCAGAAGCATCCTTAAACCTCTTACATTCCTTTGTTAATTCCAGGGTATTAGGCTCTGGCTTTCTGGGTTGAAACACGGGGGCGTCACACAATTTTCTCCAACCCTAAGCCCTTCACGCCAAGCCACAAGGGAAAAGCAAAAAGCTAAGCCCTGCCGCTTCAAATCCAAGCCCCAGACCCCTGGGCCCTGAACCCTGATGCCCTAACACCGTGACACCCTTACCCTAAACCCCTAATAACCCTAATAACCCTAAAGCCTAAACTCTAAATTTAAACCGTAACCCTAACCCCGAAATCCTAAACCCCAACCCCGAAATCCTAAACCCTAAACCCGAAATCCTAAACGCTAAACCCTACAAGCCCTTTAAAATGCAGCCGCAAGCTTGGAAGGTAAACTCCGGTCCAACTTCCTGGGCTTGGAGTTCGTTGCTTACGGCGAGGGCATGAACCCGAAGAAGAGCCATGGTTTAGGAGTTTAGGGTTTATAGGGTTTAGGGTTTAGGAGTTTAGGGTTTAGGAGTTTACGGTTTACAGGGTTTAGGGTTTAAGGTTCAGGGTTTAGGAGTTTAGAGTTTATAGGGTTTAGGGTTTAAGGTTCAGGGTTTAGGAGTTTAGGGCTTTCCCGGACCCTAAGAAGCCTTCCTTTTTTTAGGGTTTCTTATTATGGGTTCCTTAAATGAGTCTTCAAAATCGTAGGTGACTTGGGGTTCAGGTAGGGCGTCATGAGCGACGAATGTAGGGTGGGATTCTGGGATTTTCGGGTCTAGGCAGTGGGTTTAGGCTTGAGAGTTCTGTGTTCCGGGGTCAAGGTTGGGTAACGTTTGTTTTCTGTTCAGGCGGTGTTTGTTCCAAGCGACTTGCAAGAAGTCTTCCTTTAGCGTGGCCTATGCAGCTGGAGAAGTGCTTTTTAGTATTTGTGTCGGGGCACCGCAAGACTGTCCGACAGAATAATTTCCCTAAGCCCTAAACTCTATGCTTAGGGTTTAGGGTTATGCCGCTATATCATATAACCACTAAATCCCACACCCTGAACCCTAAACCACTAACCCCCAAACCGTGTTCAGGCCCCCCAAGTAACTTCCCGCGGGGATAAGGACCCAAGCCAGAATAGCAACTCCCATCATAGAAACCCTAAGTTGAGACTTCTACTATGTTTGGGCGCTTAGCTTAGGACCCTTAGGATGATCCTGCGGTATCCTAAACGCGAAGCCCCCTAAACCCTAAAAACCCTAAAAACCCTAAACCCTAAACCCTAAACCCCCTACTTTATAAAAAGCAAGACGACCCTTGGCGAGTCTCTGCGGCATCATGGAACCGAGGATTGACAGCTCCATGTCTCAGGCAGGAGGGGTTTAGGGAGTTTCGGGATTTAGGGTTTAGGGTTTAGGGTTTAGGATTTAGGGTTTAGGGTTTAGGGTTTAGGGTTTAGGGAGTTTCGGGGTTTCGGCGTTTAGAGTTTCGGGATTTAGGGTTTAGGGTTTAGGGTTTAGGGTTTAGGGTTTAGGGGATTTAGGGCTTAGGGTTTAGGGTTTAGGGTTTAGGGAGTTTCGGGATTTAGGGTTTAGGG